CCCGTAAAACAGAATTAAACTAGCTTAGAATTAAAACATAAGCATAACCATTAAAACAATAAACTAAATAGGGTGAACATGTCATGGCGGCCAGATGATGAGCAAAGGATCACCATCAGTTAATCAGGGAGATGTTCCAGGAAGGCCTAAGCAGAGAAATAAGAAAAAGGGTCCATTAAATCACAGTTAAAAAGAAACTACAAGATAGGCTTTTTTTTTTACACACAAAGTACAGTAGGTTCTTGGTTTCTGCTGGGTTTCTTCCAGGACCTTCCATGGATACCAAAATCTGTGGCTGCTCAAGTCCCATTATATACAATGGTGTAATAAACTGGTTCCTTATATAAAAAGGCAAAATCAAGGTTTGCTTTTTTAATTCAAATATATATATATATATATTCAATCTGTGGATGGATGAATCCATGGATGCAGAATCTGTGGATATGGAGGGCTGACTGTATCCTCATGCAAAGTGAAAGGGAAAGAAAGATGAAGGAAGGAAGGTCACCTGTGCTTGAAGAATTTGTAAGTAAACATTTCACAAGCTCCACTACACTGTTTTCAGCCTGATGAGACACACTAGTTAGTCTTATGGGTAACAAATAGGGCCAAGCCAGTGGCAGATGTTTCATTACAGTTTTGATTTTCTGTTCACAGCATATCACATAAGAAAGGGGAAGATCAGAACATTTGGAAACCATCTGCTTTAATTTATATAACAACAGTATTTTTTACTAATATATATAACTCAGAATGAATGCCAAGACGACGGTATTCTGGAAGCATTGTCTCCAAGCTGGAAAAGGAGTTTTACAGAAAAGTTCAGGCAATGTGGTGTAGCCTTGCCAAAAGCAATGGTCACAATCCAGTCAAAACCAAATGCTTTCCGGTCAAATCTGTATTGATAGTAGGGGATAATCACTGGCAGGCTAAACAAACTTTAGATCAGGGGTAGGCAACCTTTCCCCTTTAAGGGACGAGGGACTTCAGCTCCCAGAATCCCAGGAGCTATTGGCCAACATGGGACTATTGGCCAACATGGTTGAGGCTTCTGGGAGCTGAAGTCCCTCAGCCCTTAAAGGGGAAAGGTTGCCTACCCCTGCTTTAGATGACAGCAAATACAGACAAGCCACTTGCAAAAAAATGAGTGTAAAACTCTGACCCATTTTAGAGAAACTGTCTGTGAACATGGGTGTAATGTTATCTTTTCAAGTAATGGCTTGGTAGTTTTCACAAATCCTTCCCTCAGGGAACTCTTTATAGATCTTTTTTTTCTGCTAAAAACACACCTCCCATGAATCCTTGTATAGCTGCCATGGAAACTGTGAGCACCCACAGGGAATCCTGCAATACATACAGTGCCAACTCCAAGCTTGGCAAGTCTTGGGCAAGCCATCTTTTGAGGGCTCCTCAGTGTTAATGGCCATCAGACCCCTAACAATGGGCATCAGACAGAAAGGATTTCTGGGCAGCAGGGACAAGCAACAAAAAGAAGAGCTGCACAGATTAATGCT